CCCAGAACAGTGGCTTGAGAATGTAGAGACGATCCATATTTTTTCCTTGGGGTATAGTCTCAAAAATGTCCGCATTTCCTCATACATATCTGCGAAGCAGAAAAAAAACCTATTCAAAAGCAGATTGTTGTCCTTAAGTTTGTTGCAAAGACTGGGGAGCAGAACTTGATCAGAAAGGATGTGACGATATGTACAAAATTTAATTATCCCGTTTAGTGTGAGAATGTTCATGCAGTGTGTGCATTAACATCGATGGTTTTATTATGGGATAGTGCCCCACGTCCCACTGAGGATGTTGTGTATTACTCTTCTAATATTGGAAAATACTGAATGCTACAGCTACACATCTTGCCCAAACCAGTGGTTTGGTTTAGGGCTTATGGACCTATTTATTCAGTTCCAGGCTGGAAAAAATAAATAAATCTGTTCTCAGAAAGTGACAAAGTGTGCCATGGCTTGGAGTCAAGCTCTGCAGTTTGAATCACAGTTAGTTGTGTGACCCTGGGTAATTTTTTTAACTTCTCTGAGCCTCAGTTTCCTCATTTCTAAAGTGTAGGAAAAAGAACAGTTCTTACCTCATATGGTGGTTGTGAGGATGAGATGAGATGAAGTATGTCAAATACTTAGTAATAATTGAGACATAGTGCAAGTACTCAATAAGTAATAACAGTTGCTGTTAACAGTGTGGAACTTAGAAAAGGAAGTCAAGAAGCTCTCGTTGCCTTGCCAGGCAGTGGAGGGCCAACAGGCTGTTGTGAGTGAGCCTTTACAGAACTGCCACGCTTCTGCCCGAGTGGCATGCTGACCTCCTTCCTGGTGACATTTGGCTTACACAGCGTGAAAAAGAATACACAGATCAAAACCCACAAGTATTTCATCCCCCATTGTCAGTTATTTCCCTTTCAGTGTTAACACGTAGTCACTGTATAAGGCCTTCCCAGAAAGAAGAGACTGTTGCTTCTTGATATCCATTGCATGAACCCAAGAACCTGATCCTGGTTTCCTCAGAGTATATATAAAACAGAATCCCTGGATCTATCCGGCAAACATTGGCACAATGGTTATCTAACCATCCTACCACCCATAGTACACCCTCGGGTGCCAGTAGTCAACACCTCAGTCTTTGTTCTCTCCTTCTAAAACTGTGTTCATTTGTTCACTCTGGAAGTATTAATTGACCACCCTCCTTAAACCCAGTTTGGCATTTTATTTTATAGACTAATTGTGAGTTTGATAGCACTTTATTCGATTAAATGTGAGTCTTGGTCATTTTCTTTTCTGTTTTTTTTTTTTTTTTTTTTTAATTATTATACTGTGGTCAGAACACTGAACATGAGATCCATCCCCTTCAAAAAGATTAGGTGTACAGTGCAGTACTGTTAACTATAGGCACAATGTGTACAGCAGACCTCCAGAACTTGTGTGTCTTGCATAACTGAAACTCTAATCCCATTGAGTAGCACCACCCCATTTCCCGCTCCCTTAGTGACCACCATTCAACTCTGACTCTAAACAGCTTGACTATTTTAGATTCCTCATGTAAGTGGAAAGACGCAGCATTTGTCCTTTGGAGACTGGCCTATTTCACTTAGCATTAGGTCTTCAAGGTTCATCCATGTTGTTGTATTTGCAGAATTTCCTTGTGTTTTTAAGGCTGAATAATATTCCATCCCATGTACATGCCACGTTTTCTATAGCCATCCATCTGTTGATGGGCATTTAGGTGGTTTCCACATCTTGCCTCTTGAGAATCATGCTGCCATAAACATTGGGGTGCTAATATCTCCTAGAGATGCAGATTTCAATTCTTGTGGATACTTGGTGGGGAGAGGGGGATTACTGTTTCATGGGGCAGTGATTATTTTTTAAGTGTTTAAAGCTTGTCTTACTTTCTTTCTATTTTCCAGTTTTATTGAGAAATAACTGACATAATGTCACTGTCTCAGTCTAAGGTGTACTGCATGATGGTTTGATTTACATATATTGTGAAACGATTACCACAATAGATTCAGCTAACATCCATTCTCTCATAGAGATACAATAAAAAGAAAGAAGGAAGAGAAAAATGTTTTTCTTGTGATGAGAACTCTGAGGATTTACTCTCTTTACAACTTTCCTATATATCATACAGCAGTGTTAACTCTAGTCATCATGTTGTACATTACCTCCCTAGTACTTATTTATCTCACAGCTGGAAGTTTGTACCTTTTGGCCACCTTCCTCCAGTATTAACTTATGCATACATATTTGTTTGTTACTCTGCTTACCACCTTGATGTAGAATTTTCTGCTTAACTCTTTTAGTCTTCTGTTCCTAACCGGTGATTTCCCTGAAGACTGGGATTCGGCCATCCCCAGTCCCTATAATGTTATCTAGAACATAATAGGCCCCCAAAGATTATTAAAGGAATGAATCACCATGGGCGGGAGACAGTCTAGAAGAGAGCGAACGGGATGACAGGCTTGAAACTTCTATGAGTGTAAACGGGTGACCGTGGACCTATCGGCTAAGAAGGCCCTCATTCCCTTTCCCTGAGGTGTCCCTCCAGTCTCCCAATCGCAGATGCTCATCACATAGATCTGGCTGTCACTCCCCCCGCTCCTCACCTCCCCCCCCCCCATTTCCAGTCAGTCATCGGAGACTGTGGATTCAGCCTCTTAATACCTCTCCAATCTTTCCCTCCTGTTTCATCGGCACGGCACTGCCCTTACCTCATCCCACTTTCTCTCTCATCTGCAGCAGCCTCCTCACGGGTCTTCCCAACGTCCATCTTGCCTCCCCTAATTCCCATCCAGCAGCCAGAGTGAGCTTTCTAAAGCACACATCTCATCAGTACTTCTCAACTAGAGTCTATGTTTTCTTACTGACTGCGGGATGAGGTTCCAACTTTATCAGGTGGATTACTAGACCCTTCATTACCTGGCCTCTGCCTAGCACTTGAGCTTTCCCTCCAACCAGTCTGTGCTCCCCTCCTCAGGCCTTTGTATGAAACATCCCTTCACCTGGGACGCTGTTCATAATACGCTTGCTCGACTCCACGTGCAGGCTGGTGAAAGCATTCTCTTACCATCTCAATTTTTGCCAAGACCCAAAGGCCGAGGACAAAATCTCAAGTGGCAGGTGTCCTCCCATTCTAAACTTATCTTGAACCTTACCTCATACCATTTGTAAAAACAATCAACTCCCGGTGAAATGCGACCTCAAAGTGTAAGGTAAAATAATGCAACTTTAAAATGAAAATGTAGAAAATATGTTCATGATCTCGGGGTAGACAAAACAATTTCTTCACCAGGATTCAAACAGCACTAATAATAAAGGGGTGAGGGGATGCTAAGTGGAACTGTGCAATACCTGGGATATTCTCTTCAACAAGGGGCACCAATAAGTGAGTGAAACCGCAAGCCAAGGAGTGGGGAAAGATATTTGTCGTATATTTTGGCAGTATTTAGAGAAGGTGAATAGCTATAATCCGATGACACAACCAATCCTCTCCCAGGCTGTACCCTACAAATGGTACCCTTAGTCTCCACGGTCACACAGGACATAAGTCTTCCAGATATCCTAAATAAACTACAAAGGAGAAGTAGAATGAACCACATTTATTAAAAACTTTGCATCATAACCAAAAATTCACAGGAAGTTATCGACAATGTCCAACTCCTGGGGGCAGAAAGAAAATAAAATGAAAACTAATAACAAACAATTGCAAAATCACAAATACAACATTGCATGAGATTTGTGGCATGTGGCCAAAGCCAGACTTAAAGTTTGCGGCCTTCAGTGCTGTCATCATTTCAAAGAGCAAAGAAAGAAAATACAGTGTTTACTGGAAGTTCACTCTGGGTAGGGTCTCCACGCGTACATAATCCACTCACTCTTCCTAGGACGTGTGCGGTGAGTGCTGCTCTCTGCCCTTCACAGTACTTTATGCACTGGACATTTTCCCTTGCCCCTGTCTTTTGGAAGTGCTCCACATTTCAAAAATGGACCGTGTTCAAGGCTCAAATGATGCATAAACATAGCAGTGGGTGCACAGGAGATTCTGCCACGTGGTTTAAGTGGGAGTCAAGGTAAGTGCTCGTTGGCACCGTCAGGGAAGCGTCCGCACGTTGCTCCAACTACTAGTCAGTGGCAAGCAAACAGGAACAGCATATCCATTTCCACGTGACTAAAATATCGCACAGATACAGGTCACTTGGGCACATCCACGTCTATTGGAATACTGACCCTACATCTGAAAGCAATGCCGACATTTACATGCTCCTTACTCACGCCTATACCGTGGTTTAATTCCACAGAAAAGTTTTCTACGTGTATTACTGTAATTTTTCATTTATACTGAGTTGGTCTTAGTAAACGCGTGCATTCACCTGTCACCGCGAGTAATCAAATGCACATGGCTGGGAGGGGCGGGGCTTGGCGCACCTCAGAACATTGGCGGCCTGCATTAAAACTGCTGCAGAAAGTCACGCCACGCCACGTGACAACAGAGCCCTTTACCGGGCCAGTGATCACCTGCCAATCATTCGCCAAACACTGTGTACCAGCCCTGACCCTTGGATTTAAATACCTACACTAGAGTTGCTTTTTCCAACATATGGCCTATTCACTAAAATTTGTTAAAATAACAGCAACAAAAAAATACCCTGTTAATTTAACTATAAGCCAATCCTGGTTAAAAACATTTTAAAATCAACAGGGTGTTAATTTTCACATATGACGTACGGACTGGACACTGTGTCCGTTAAATCTGAAGTCCTTTAAATGGAGGTCTGCAAAATCGAGGGTTTACTGTACTCACCTCTATACCGTGGTTGGCTGGGAACAAAGGCATTTTCATCATAAAGATTAAGCAAGACCTGCCTAGACGGTGGCAAGAGTCAGTGAATACTCTAGAATTTATGTGCCTTGGAAGATGGGTTTTAAACACAGCAAAATACAAAGCTGTTCTTATGAATAAGCTCAAACAAAACTGTTCTTCCACGACAGCCTAGCACAGGTTAAAGCTTTAATAGACTAGTGTCACGTTGTGTAGGAACTGTTTCCTTCAACAAATTCTCAAGGAGCTCTTCTCTAAAGTGAGCTAGCTGCTTGGTGCATATTAAACAAAATGCTTTGTTAAGGAAGCTTGTAGAACAATGAGTGCACCTCTATGGCTTCTCCCCTGAATGGCTTCTTAAGTGAAAAACAAGGCTTGCTCTCTGTCTGTAGCTTTTCCCACAACACTCACACATAAATCGTCTCTCTGCAGTGTGTGCTGTGTGGTGTAAGTCAAGGTCTCTATGTCGTCTAAATCTTTTCCCACAACTCTGACACTTATGGGGTTTTCCATTTGTGTGGATTTTTAGGTGTTGTATAAATTGTTTCCTATTACAAAATCGCAACTTACAGGCAGGGCAAGTGGATACCTCTTGGCCAGAAGAGGTTTTCTGGTGCTCTGTGAGGTGTGACAGCTGAGTGAATCGCTTCTCACACACGCTGCACTTATAGGGTGCCTCCCTTGTGTGAACTCGAAGATGCCTTTGTAGGTTTGACTTACGAAGGAATCTTTTCCCACATTCAAGGCACTCATGAGGGAGCTTTCCCGAATGAATTTTCAGGTGCCCGTTAAGTACCTTCTTGGAAACAAAATCTTTCCCACACTGAATACATTGGTGTGGTTTCTTTGGGGCACTGTTTTGCTCATGGGCTCTGGGGTTGAGAGGGCCTTCCTGGTTGGATCTCTCAGCTCTCTCTCCTGGAGAGGGATTCTGATCGTGGACAGGCAATGCGAGGTCTCTGGGTAGCTGCTCTGCAGGATTTCCCAATTGATATTTTGGCTCTTCCGAGTCTTCTGGAAAGTTCAGATCAGGAAGTGCATTTCCGTCTAAAGAAACAGAAAATGGATACACGCTCTCCAGTTTTTTTTTCTGCTTTGACACATTTTCTCTCCCAACATCAAAATCAAGAGTGTGAATAGAAATTGCGGATGTCGCCATGTTCCAAGGGGACTGGAGACGTAGGGACAAGAAGAGTTATACTCAGTGGCTAGTGGGAAGGTAACAAACTTCCAAGTGCCATCCCAAACCTCTTTACCCTGGCAGTAAGGATGAGTTTTTCTTTAGTTTCCTCCCGACTCCCGAGCATTCCATGAACCCTCACTTACCTATCTTGAAGTCAAGGAATTGCAATAGTTGTTCCACGTCCTTGCAATCCTGTAGTTCCTTCACCCAGGGCTCTGCGAGTTCAGGTTTTGCTGGTGGGTATCCTGGCCATAGGAGAGATGAGAGGAAGGATAGTTTGTGTCAACACAGGTTTCTGCAGAGCCCAGGTCTCTTTCTTGGACACGTGGCCTCTCAATATCTGCCTACTACCTTCACCAGGAGCCCCTGACAAGTCCTTTGTGTTGTGCTCTTTGGTTTTTCAAGATAAGAACAAAACCTAAATGGCTGGCAGTGGGTGGAGCTGGGGGGGGGGGAGGGGAGGCGGCAGAGAGATCCTACTGTGCTCAGTTCAAAGCTATTCTCTTCCAATCTACGGAAGGGAAGGGAATCAATTCTGGTGTGATGTCAATGCACTGAATGAGTCCCACAACCGTGTTGAGAATGGAATTGTGTAGGTGAGGGCCAGAACATGAATTCAATCTTCCTAAAGCGCTGCCATATTAAAACTGAGAAACACTGTCTCATTGACTGCCAAGCGAAGAGAGAGAGAGGCCACAGTGGGGGTTAGGAATGGTTACTGGAATAATTTTAGTAGGAGATATTCAAATTAAAAATGACAATTGAAGTAGGTTGGCAATGGGTAAAACATAATCTGTATGTGTTTGCTTCAGCAGAAGTCTAGAAGCAGATTCTCTTGAAACTAACCAAAATAATCATCAAACAGTGTTTCTCACTGTCAATCTAAGGACAACCAGGAGACATTTCTACACTTCCTGCCCCCGCCTCCCCCCGCACCCCCCCCCCCCCCCCGTGTCTTACCACCCCCTTCCTCAGTGAGAGCCGCTGTGGCTCCATCCTCTTTCCACACGCCTACCACAGCTCTGGCCAAGTTTACTGGTCTGCAATAAAGTGTGGGTTGGAAATGGCTCATTTCAGATTGAAATACAGGGCAATGTTTAAATAGTAGAATGGGTAAACTGACATTAGCAAGTCAGTTGGGCTAATGTTAATGTGAAGGAACATTTGACTTGCAGAGCATTATATCAAAGCATAGGAAGTCGACTAACATACCTTATTTTCTATTTCCATAAAGAAAAGGCCATATATTTCAAGCAAAGAGAATTTAAAATACAACTCTTCATCTTGTTTATGCTTGTATCTCAAACGTAAGGTTGGGATGAGAGAGTACGAGCCCTAGCTCAAATATAACTGGATGTCACGGATCAAAGGAAAGCTGCCGCCAAGCGAAAGTGCGAGCAATCTGAAAAGTGGGGTCGCGGTGGGGGTGGGGGTGGGGGTGGACAGCAGCCCAGCCTTAGGGTGGCAGAAACCGGGAGGCCCACAATATCCCCATCAAGAGAGACGGGAAAACAAGTTCAGAATGGCAGGATGTGTTCACATGGTGGTTCCCACCCCGTACACAGAGCATGGACTTGATCCTCTTCAGGCTGTGGACTTCATCACAGGCCACCCTGAAACCAACCCAGACACCTGGCCCTCAGGTGAAAGGCAGCTAAAGATGAAGACTAGCCAAGGACTGAAGCAGCCCCGGAGGCAGAATCTAACACCCATGAGAACAAGGCCAGGAGTGTCATCACCAGGCAGCTGTGTCTCATGGACTTACCATCAGTCCAGCTGCCCCTTTCTGTGCAGCACCAAACCAAAGAGGACTGAGAACTGTCACCTTACTTCCTCGTCCCGGCACAGTACCCCATGGTGCCAGCTTTCAAAGAGGCTGTCCCAAACTTGAGCTCCTTGCTGGCTGTTTACCTCATGCACTTCTTCACTGTCTACCAACCTCACCCCCACCCACCTCCCTCCCGTGTAACGTTCCGATTTCTGTGGCTCAGGTGCACTCAGCCTCCACTGTCTGGACTCTCAAAGCCCTGCTCCTGCCACTATCACTGGTTTGCAATCCCCAACCTATGCTCACAGCCCATGTCAGCTAAGGCTGACCATCCTCCTTGCATCCAACCCTCTTCTGACCGCAGTTCCCATCCTCTAGTCATACATTCAATAATCACAGATGCGGAATGAACTGGACACTGATTCAAGAGGCTTTCGCAGATATCAGCCCTCCTTCTGTCTGCCAACACGGGGAAAACAGCCATGGCACTCCTGACAAGGGAAGCCTGTGAGCGAAGGCGAGCAGATACTAGCACTCGTACGCTGTGGTGGGAGGGTAAATTGGTACAGTAACTTTGGAGGACATTCAGCCATATCTATTAACGTTTCAGATGTATATGCCCCCTAACCAATCGTTCCTAACCTAGATATTTGTCCTGCTGACACATGCCCATGTAAAGATGCTCACTGTGTGTTTTATAGAGCTTGGCCGCAGGGTATTTTGGTCAACGTTGAGTGTCAGCCAGAAGCCAGGCCTCTGTGACTACTTCTGTTGGCAGGGCTCTTCTCTTTACCCTCAAACGCCACAGTAACCACCCCAGAGGTTGCGCTGGAAATGAGCCTAAGGGCGTGAACGAGCCCTCTTTGTACTGGGCCCTAGGCTTGTTCATTTCTTCACTCCCGGCTGGGGCTCGGGACTCAAAAGCCTGCAGGCGCCAAACTCAAATTCTCACACATCCAATCATTTAAAAATTAGCCCCCAGAAACAGATTTTTAGCCATTTAGAGCCGTCCTCCATTGCGTAGCTCAGAAAATATCACCCCACAGCTGCTAGCCACTGAAAAGATGGAGCCTTGTGGTTATATGACCCCCAAACTGCTGCTGCCCTTTGGAATTCTCTGACCTATAGACGCCCAGTGTGATACTGGGCTATGACATCACCAAGACAGGTAAGCCCCCTCTCTGAGCCCTTACTGCCTGGGGAGTTCCCTTGTCCTTCTCCCCTTCTGACCCCTGACTTCCCCCACAAGCACAGCACCTGACAGAGAGTTGCCCAACAAAGCTTGTGTGTGCTACTGCCACCTCCTGGTCATACCTCCTTCCTAGATCAACCCGCAGATCCCCTGGACCCTCTACAAGTGGTAAGGAGGATGAGACTTTGGTGACCAGGAGGTAGACATGGAGACCTCCCAGTCAGTAGGACAGAGCATATTATATCACTTTAAACGGTGATGAGAAAGGAGTGTTTTCCTCTCTTCCTAATGGATATATTTTACTTGTTACATCATTCCGTCTCTCCCTTGTTACATATACTGGACTTTTCTGTGCCTCAGAGACTAAAGCTTTCCAATCAAGAGAAATAGTGCTGCTCATTGTCATATTTGATCTTTGTACCTGTAACTGTTGCTAGGAGAAGAAAATTCACACACGAAATGGGAACTCATATGCAGAAAGAAGTATAACTCAACACCACTGGCTAGGTTCTGCCACTTGTTGCAGGCATACACACAGAAATACAGATTTTTAAAAACTTGTGAACAGATCAGAAATGCAGGTAAGGTAAAGACTGGAATATACACGGCAATAGTTTATACAGTTTGGCTTTGACCTTAATGGCTATACGTACGCCCTTTCGGGGTTTTCCTCCTGGTGCCCTCTATGGAAAAACAAGGCAGGCAGGGCACATGTCTTCTATATGCGCAGCACGTGCTGGAACAAGCTACAAAACTTGGTACCCGCGCAAATGGAAAAAATGCAGAAAGCGAGACAAATGCATGACCAAACAACCACACTGAGACGTTATGAGATGAATTCTATGCGGGTGGTGGCACTGCACAGGTAACAGGCGGTCCTGTTCTTAGGCCTGGAATGGACCAAGCCATCCTTTCCAAGGAGAGGGTGGAGTCTCACATGTACCCTTCCCCGCTGTCTGCCAGACACTCGAAGAGAGATGGCACTTGGAATGGAAATCAAAAGAGAGAGGGAAGAACCATAGGTAAGCACAAGAGCTACAATTTCTATTGGCTTCAAGAGCAAATGGGTCCAAGTGTCGAGGATATCCATTCTCATGCACTTAGACAGGAAAAACAAGAAACCCAGGCAAGGTGCCTGAACGTTGAATAGATTTTCGAATTCATATGTAACGATCTTTTCTAATATGATATCTCCCAGGGTCTGCCCAGAGAACCTTGTGCTGTCTGCCTCTATACAATCCTGGAAAGTCCTCGACCACCCTTGAGACTTCCATGAACTCCTGTGAGCGTTTCTTCCCCTGGACTTCCTCCCCCTGAACTAGCTCCTGTATTGACTGGAGCAGTGGTTCTCAAACGGTAGTATGTACAGCACTCCCTTGGAGATCTCTGTCAAAAATGCACGCCGGGTGATCCTGATACAGAGAATCTGCTTACCACGCTTGGGGAAACACTGGTCTAGGTTTTTATGGAGAAGACACGTATTCATTTTACTGTGGCAAGCGATTAAATCCTCTCAAGGGATCTGAATGTTAGTCAAGTGTCATGTTTGAATGTGGTTCTTACGGCATAAGGGAAACTGAGGCCCTTGGGACCCACACCACCACAGATTCTACCGCTAAAAATGTGCTGGGGAAATTCATCTTTATTCATATTACCCAAACTCCCATCAATTTCCTGTATAGCATTCTTGGTCAAGGCCTCCTTCCTGAGAAGGCTCATTAGCTTAAGGGGTTTAGAATCCTGTTCGAGCTAATAAAGTGCTTTGTGGCCAGCGATTCCCCAAGAGATGTTTCCTCCTTCCAACCAGTATTTGGTGTTTTTAACCAACCCCAACCCTACAGAGCTCCTGAGTTCTCGAAACAGAAATCAAGGAAAAGAAATAAAACCCTTGCCTTACCGGGGTCCAGAAAGGGCTGGTCTTCCCCCCTAGCACCGTGGCTCAGCTCCTGTGGGATCCATGCCTCTGCCACTGGGGCCTCGGGGACAGGTCCCATTGCTTGGAGTGGGAGTACCTCCAGCTGCATGTTTGGTGGTATGTCTGCCATTCCGACTGCTGCCAGGTCTTCCAAGAGCTTTTCCTGCCTGTCGATCTGGAGGAAATGCCAGAACCCATCACTCTAAAGTCTATGTAGACCAGCAGTGCCCAGTAGCAATATAATGCAAGCCACCCAAGTCATTCAAAATTTTCTGGTGGTCATATGAAACATAAAAGAAATAGGTAAAGTCAATCTTAATAATATGCATTACTTAACTCAATATATCATAATTTCATAATATAATCAGTATAAATAATTTCAATGAGATATTTCACCTAAGTCTTCTGAATGGGGTGTGCATTTTATACTTACAGCATATCCCAATTTAGACTAGCCACATTTCTAGCACTCAAGAGCCACCCTTGGCTGTTGCCTACCATACTGACAGTGCAGGACTAGACCAAATGAAGAAAAAAAGTCTCCTGTGGTAAGCCGAACAAGGAGACACAGAAAGGAAGGGAAACCATACACGCATTCCATCCCGGAGGCAGTGAACTTTGGAAGAGTTTCCTGTGCATGCAAGGCTAACTGCAGAGCGCCATCAACACCCAAGACTCCAGTGCCCCTAATGCCCGACTAGAAGTACTTTCGCCCTCCTCCGAAGATGCTGCCCTGTACTCAGTTATCGCATACCCCAAACAGGTTTTACTAGGTGGTTCTGAACAGAGGGCAGGGCCACTGCCCCCAGGAGGTGTTTTGGATATGAAGGCAGGTGGCGGCCATCTGAATTTAGCGGGCAGAGATGGAAGTATAGATTATGCATAGTGCAGAATTGCTCCAGGTCCCTACCAACTTTGGAGTGTCCCCCTCAAATACTCATGTAGGTAAAAACGACCTGTCAAGATCCTCACCTTGTCGGTCATATACTCTCAACATATTGTTGCATATGTTAGCATGACTTAAATTTTCTGGGAAAGCACTGCTTTGGGAATCAAAGTCATGGCGATGTAAAGTACAGCACAGGAAATATAGTCAATAATATTGTAGTAACTATGTATGGTGCCACACTTTGTAAATTATATAACTGTCTAACCACTGTGCAGTACTTCTGAAACTAATACAAAATAATATGGAATGTAAGATCTGACTTTCGGTGGTGGGCACGCAATGCAATATACAGATCATGTATCATAGAAATGTACACTTGAAATCTATATGACCCTATTGACCAGGGTCGCCCCAGTACATTTAATTTGAAAAGAAAAAAAAAAAAAAAAGAGAACGTATTTTTTTAAAGGAAGCCTCCGCTTCACCAAGCGTTGTTTGCCACTTTGGACGCTCACATGACCAGCAGCAACACTGCTCATAGTGTTCAAGCTGTATGAATCTGAATTTCTTGCCTGTCACTTTCTCAGTGAGTCTGTGCAGAGAGGCAAGCATCTGACAACTTCATGAGGTCTTCTGGTGAGCACAAGCCCAGACATGTAAACACTACAATATTTTTCAGTTTATACTAAACTACTTTCCTATTCCTTTATATTCCTCCTAGAGTCTACTTGACTAGACTTGGCCAACTTTGTTTGCAAAGAGTCATATAGTAAAAAATTTAGGCTTTGTGTGCCACATTCTGTCTGTCATTCTTCCCCTTCTTCCTATTTTCTTTCCTTCTTTCTCTCTCTCTTTCTCTCTCTCTTTCTCTCTCTCTTTCTTTCTTTCTTTCTTTCTTTCTTTCTTTCTTTCTTTCTTTCTTTCTTTCTTTCTTTCTTTCTTCCTTTCTTTCTTTTTTTATAAAAAATGCTTTAACAGGTCAAATCCTTTCTTAGCTTACGGGGTATACAAAACAGGCTGTAAGTGGATCTGATCTGCAGACCCTTGAGCATAACATGGATGTTTTCTCAAGAATGACTGCAGGTAGATTATGTTATCTGTGAATTTCATTTAAGCATATTTACTGGGACATCAGAAAATATTTGTTACAGAAGGGGGATTGGCCATGACGAGGTTGAAAACCACCGACCCCTGTGTTTTTGTCCAGCAGGAGAGACATGAAAAGGACTGTGGAGAAATCTTGGGCTGAAGAATGACACAGAGACAAATGTCTGATCCAATCCCACCTGCCTCTGATACCCTTTTGGTCTAGTCACCCAGATCCCAAACTCTTTTCTCACCTGTGCCTCTGGTGTCTTAAGTTTGATCTGTAAGTCTTCTTCTAACAGAGACACAATCATTTCTGTAGTCTCTTGGCATTGTTCTGTCACCCAGGTCTCTAGCTCCTGGGGCAGAATTGTTCGATACTGTTCCAGCACCAGAAGCTCCACCATTTGTTCCTTAGAATGCGTCTTTGGCTTCAGCCATTGACAGCAAAGCTCCCGGAGTTTGTTGAAAACATCACGAGGCCCTGCCGCTTCTTTGTACTGGAACTGCCGGAAGCGCTGACGGAAGAATTCGGAGTCATTATCATACTCTTGAAACACAGAGTCCAGGTTCAAGGAGGCCTGGATGGCAGAACCGAGGGCAGAAGCCATTGCCCCCTTCCAGCAGTGTACAATTTATCTGGTGTCTTAAGTCTCAGGTTCCAATTTGTTTCTTTGTGTAGTTCTTGGGGGTAGATACCTACAGCTGAGGAAAGGGCAAATGAGAAAGGAGAAACAGCAGTGGTTACCAGAGGGCGTCCTTATCTCCCTTAATTGCTTGCTTTTCGGCAAAGCCCTAAAGTAGCAGACTGTGGTCTTTTGAGTACTTTTTAGAATCTGATGAAAAAAATTAAAGGGATTTCTATAAGAAGAAGAAAGAAAGAAAAAGAGGATCATCGTCATAAAGAATAAAACGGCAATAAATGCGTACCTATCAATAATCACTTTCAAGGTAAATGGCTTCAGTGCTCTAATCAAAAGGCGTAGGGTAGCTAAGAAAACAAGGCCCATGTATATGCTGTCTATAAGAGGCACAACTCAGAAGGAAAGACACACAGAGACTGAAAGTGAAGGGTTGGGAAAAGATACTTCCTGCAGACGGAAATGAAAAAAAAAAGAAAGAAAAAGAAAACTGGGCAAACGATACTTATATCTGAAAATGTAGACTTTTAAACAAAGGCTATAATAAGAGACAAGGAAGGACACCACATAATGATAGAGGGATCAATCCAATAAGAGGTTTTAACCCTTGTCAACAAGGAAATGGCGGGTTTAGATGACACACTAGACCAACTGTAGTTAATTGATATTTTAATTGAGCATTTTACCCCAAAGCAGTAGAATATACATCCTTTCAAGTGCACATGGCACATTTTCTAGAACTGACCATATGTTAGGAAACACAACAAACCTCAATAAATTTACGAAGATTGAAATCACATCAAGCATCTTCTCTGACCACAGCGGTATGAAACTAGAAATCAATTACAAGAAAAAATCCTGAAAAACACATAAACAAATGGAGGTTTAATTACATGTTACTAAGCAATAAATGGATTGCCAATGAAGTCAAGGAAGAAATCAAAAGATACTTTGAGACAAATGAAATGTTTACACAGCAACCCAAAATCTATGGGACACGGGGAACGCAGTTCCAAGACGGAAATTCTTAGCTTTATTGGCCTACCTCACGAAACAAGAAAAACCTCAAACAATCTAACCTTACACCTAAAGGGACTAGAGAAACAACCACCACCAAAGCCCAGAGTGAGTAGAAGAAAGAAAATAATAACGATCAGAGCGGAAATACAGAAATTGAGTCTAAAAAAGCAGTAGACCCATCAATGAAACCACGGCCCAGTTCTTTGAAAAGATAAACACGATTGATGAACCATTAAGCAGACTCGTCAAGGAAAAACGAGAAAGCACCCCAATAAATAAAATCAGAAGTGAAAGAGGAGAAGTAAAACTCGAAACCACAGAAATATAAAGAATTATAAGAAAATATTAGAAACAACTATATGCCAACAAATTGGACAATCTGGAAGAAATGGATAAATTCCTAGAAACATATAATCTTCCAAAACTGAATCAAGAAGAAACAGAAAATCTGAAGAGACCGATCACAACCAATGTAATCAAAGCAGGAAGAAAAAAAAATTATATATATATATATATATATATATATATACACACACACACACACACACACACACACATACATATACATACACACACACATACATACATATACATATATGAAACGAATCAGTTCTGGAGCAGATGGCCCCACAGGTGAATTTTACCAAACATTCGAAGAAGAAATAACACCTATCCTTCTCAAACAATTCCAAAAAATTCAAGAGGAGGGAAGACTCCCAAGCTCATTTTACGAAGCCAGCGTTATCCTAATTCTAAAACCAGATAAGGACATTACAAAGAAACAAAATCATGGGCCAATATCCATGCTGAACACGCATGCAGAAATCCTCAACAAAGTATTAGCAAACCAAATCCAGCAATACATTAAATAGCTCACGCACCACGATCAAGTAGGATTTAATCCTGAGATACAAGGCTGATACAATATCCTCAGATCTGTTAACGTGATACACCACATAAAAACAAAACAAAACAAAACAAAACAAAGTACAGCCCTGGCCGGTTTGGCTCAGGGGTTAGAGCGTCAGCCCGCGGTTCAGAGAGAACTGGGTTCGGTTCCCGCTAAGGGCACGTACCTCGGCTGCAGTTTGTCCCCGGCCCTGGCTGGGTAGTGCGGATGGCAGCCACTCGATGTGTCCCTTTCACGTCGATGTTTCTCTCTCTCTCTCTCTCCCTCCCACCCTATCTGAACAACAACAACAAAAATGAAGTACAAAAATCATAAGATCATATCAGTAGGTGCAGAAAAGCATTTTAAATAATCCAGCACCCATTTATGACAAAAATTCTCTGCAAAGTGGGAATAGAAGGAACATACCTCAACATAATAAAGGTCATGCATGACAAACTGAAGCTAACATCATACCCAATGGGGAAAAAAATAAAGCATTTTCCTTAAGATCGGGAACAAGACATGGACGCCCACTTTCCCCACTCATATTCAACACAGTGCTGGAAAGTCCTAGCCACAGCAATGAGACAAGAAGAAGAAATAGGCACTCAAAATGAAAAGGAAGAAGTAAAACTGCCATTACTTGCAGATGACATGATACTGTATATAGAGAACCCTAAAGAGTCTACCAAAACAAACAAACAAAAACAGCCAAAACACACCAACAAATAAATCAACTAGAACTGATAAATGAATTCAGTAAAGTAGCAGGATTCAAAATAAATATCCAGAAATCAGTTGCATTTTTATACACCAATAATCAACTATCAGAAAGGGAAATTAAGAAAACAATCCCATTTACAACTTCATGAGACAAAATTAAATACCTAGGAATAAATCTAACAAGGGAGATAAAGTTATCACTTTTTTTTTTTTTTTTTGGAAAATTATAAGACACCGAAGAAAGGGATTGAAGAAGAGACAAATAAATGGAAACATGTACCGTGCACGTGGATAAGAACTGACATTGTAAAAATGTCCTAGTTCCCAAAGCATCTATAGATTCAATGCAATTCCTATCAAAATACCAATGATGTATTTCACAGAACTAGACAAAATATTCCAGATCTTTATATGAAACCAGAAAAGACCCCCAATACCCACAGCAACCTTGAGAAAGAAGAACAAAGCTGGACCTGTCACGTTACCTGCTAACAAACTGTGCTACCAAGCTATAGTGATCAAATCCACACAGTACTGGCATAAAAACAGATCTATATAGATCAATGCAACAGACAGAGAGCCCAGAAATAAACCCACACCTACATGGTCACATAACATTTGACCAAAGAGGCAAGAACATACAATGAAGTAAAGACAGTCTATTCAATAATCTTGTTGGGAATATTGGACAGATACATGAAAAAAGAAATGAAACTAGACCACCATATTACACCATATACCAGGATAAACTTCAAATGGACTAAAGACTTAAATGTAAGACTCGAAATCGTAAAAGTACTACAAAAAAACACAGGCAGTAAAATCTTTGACGTTTCTCTCAGCAATATTTTTTTTCTGATGTATTTCCTCAGACATGGAAACCCAAAGAATAAATGAGACTATATCAAAAGATTTTACACAGCAAAGAAAACCATCGCAAAAGGAAAAGACAATTTAAAAATGTGGAAAGATAGCCCCCAATGACATATCCAATAAGGGGTTACTATCCAAAAGCTATAATAAAAAAAACTTACACAACTCAACACCAAAAATATCTAATTAATAAAATATGCAGATGGCCCTGGCCTGTGTGGCTCAGTTGGTTGGGCGTCGCCCTATGCACCAAAAGTTTGCTGGTTCCATTCCAGGTCAGGGCACATGCCTGGGTTTTGGCTTGATCCCCGGTAGGGGGCATGCAGGAGGCAGCCAGTCGTTGGTTTCTTTCTCTCCTTCTCCCGTTCTCTCTCTCTACAAGACAATATAAATATTTTTTAAGGGAAATATACAGAGAAGACAAGTACCTCATGATCTCACTTGTTTATGGAATATAATGAACAAAGTAAGTTGACAGTCAAAATAGATCCAGAGACATGGAAGTAGGGAACAGACTGACAAACCTCAGAGGGAAGGGGGATGGGGGTGGGTGGGAAGAGATAAACCAAAGAACTTACATGCATATCTGCATAACCAATGGGTACAGACAATAGTGTGGGGAAGGCAGGAGGGGGTGGGAGCTGGAAGGAGGGGATCAATGGGGGATAAAAGGGGGAACATCTGTAAAACTTTCAACAATAAAGATAAAAAACTAAAAAATATGCAGAGTACCTTAATAGCGACTTCTCCAAAGTGGACATATAGATGTTCAGTAGACATATGAAAAAAATGCTCAACGACACTAATCATCAGAGAATCGCAAATTAAAACCTCAATGAGACATCGCCTCACACCAGTCAGAATGGCTGTCATCAACAAAGCAACAAACAAGTGTTGGTGAGGATGTGGAAAAAAGAGAACCCTCGTGCACCGTTGGTGCAAATGCAGATTGATGCAGACACTATGGAAAACAGTAGGGAGATTTCTCAAAAAATTAAAAATGGTCCTGCCTTATGACTCAGCCATTCCACTTCTGTGTATATATAAGAAACCCAAAAGAGTCATTTGAAAGACTATATGCACCCCTATGTTCATTGCAGCATTATTTGCAATAGCTAACATATGGAAGCAACCCAAGTGCACCTCAATAGAAGAGTGGATAAAAAAAAAAATTAAAAAAAAAAAAATGTGGCGTTACACCCCGGCCAGTGTGACTCAGTTGGTGGGGCATCATCCTGGTTGCTGGTTCAATTCCTGGTCAGGGCACATGCCTGGGTTTCGGGTTCAATCCCCGGAAGGGGGCATGCAGGAGACAGCCGATGTTATGCTCTCACATCGATGTTTCTCTTCTCCCTTCCTCTCTCTCTAAAAGAATCGATAAACTATTCTTTAAAAAATGTGGTGACATATATATGTATAATGGAATAGTAGCCGTAAAAAAAGAGAGAAATCCTACCATTTG